ACAGTAATTCTCACTGACAAAACTGCTTAATACTGCACACATGTTTCGCACCGTGCATGTGTTCTAAATACGTTGCCACTGAGCCACACCGTCATGCTCGGGAATACTCAAGGGTTCCATCTCCACAGGCCCTTGGCCATCACTCATCTGTGAGATACCAGTATCCGAACGGAGAATCGGTTTCCCGGGCCTGGGTTTACTCATCGGCATTAATATGTAAACACAGTGGGATTCTCAAGAAAAACACAACATGAACTGCACATGTACACATTGCTCAGGGTGTTTAGTCTAGCAGCTTCGCATCAGGCGATGGGGTAGCCGCCGTAGTGGATCCCCCGCTTGAGACTGCACATGGGTAGTCATATATGGTAATTAGTGAGGCGGTGGTTCGAAGCCTAGGCACTTAGGATATGTCTTCGGTTGTGGGACAACTAGTGGGGTATAGATAGGCCTTGAGGTTCAAGGTTTTTGGGTTTAGGGAGTTTAACTGTACACGCGTGAACACAAAGGAACCGCCACGTGCGCACACATACACATGCACGCGCACATATATGCCCCCCGATACCCCATATTAAATGTGGCCTTCTCCGAAGGACACCTTGCGGCGCACACTGTGATCTTCCTCATCCCCTGATGCAGCCTTCCTTTTGCCTTTGCCGTTCGGCTGCTCGCTCTGACCCTTACCCTTCAAGTGGCTGCCTTTGGATCCTTTGCCCGTCGGCTTCGTCATGTCAGCCGGTGTTCCCACGGAGGATGGCTCACTTGGGGGAGTACCAGTCATCGGGCTGGGTGCTGCCGACTTTGGCGGCGGGGTGCGTGGGTGCTCGGGGCTGCTGTCGTGACCGCCAACTCCTTTCCCAACCGATGCTGGCGTGCCGCTGGGCACGCGTGCATCCTTACTCGTGGTCTTGCCTTTTGCTCCATCATGGCTGCCCTTTGCATCCTTACCACCGCCCTTGGCGCTGCCCTTTGCATCCTTACCACCGCTGCCCTTTGCATCCTTACCACCGCTGCCCTTTGCATCCGAGCTGCTGCCCTTTGCATCCTTACCGCTGCCCTTTGCATCCTTACCACCGCTGCCCTTTGCATCCTTACCACCGCCCTTTGCATTCTTACCGCCGCCGCTGCCCTTTGCATCCTGATCACCCGCGCTGCCCTTCAAACTTGCGTCCTTACCACCGCCGCTGCCCTTTGCATCCTTGCCGCCCTTTGCATCCTTACCGCTGCCCTTTGCATCCTTACCACCGCTGTGGTCCTTTGCATCCTTACCGCTGCCCTTTGCATTCTTACCGCTGCCCTTTGCATTCTTACCGCTGCCCTTTGCATCCTTACCGTTGCCCTTTGCATTCTTACCTCCGCTGCCCTTTGCAGCCTTGCCGTCGCCTTTGATCATGGCAGCTCCTGTGGCAGTGCCCTGGCTGGCTGCAACTTTGCCCTTACTGGCATCTTTGCCACCGCCGCCGATCGTTGCTGCAGCTTTGCCGTCGCCTTTGGTCGAAGCAGCTCGATTGGCTGGACTTAAAGCATCTGCAGCAATCTTGGCAACGTACTCATAATGTCGTGGCTGTGTTGCCACCGACACACACAAGGCTTCCTCGTGTGAGCTCGCTGGCGAGCTGCTGGCCCCTTTGGCCCCCTTCTTTCCCTTCCCACCCATTGCCGAGCAGGATACGCGATCTAAATCTGATCCTCTAGTGTTGCTTCGGGGCGCGTGCGAAGTGCTATAGGTCATGAACAACCGATACACGCTGATACACGCTAGTCGACGGTTTAAACCTTCCAATACACGCAGATACACGGGTATACACGCTAGTGGTCCGTACTGCTTCGGATTAGGTTAGCAAGCATCGCTAGCAAGCCGTTCGTTTTGCACGACATAACGGCACCGTGGCTGTTCAAAAGCGGCTGACCCCGTGTAACTCAAGCCGCTCATCAGCTTAGGAATGGGTGCGATCTGGACGAATCACAGCTGGGAGCTATTGCCGACCAAGTTCTCCAGGCCAGAGTCAGAGCTTTCGTCGCACGAGTCATCATACAGCTCCATCGACTCCTCCTCGACAACGGGTTTGGGTTTCATAGTCTTGAAGTGGTTGTCCAATAGGCCCGCAACCTGAGCACCCATTGCTTCAATGCATACTAGCTGCGACCGTGCATTGTAAGTGGTTTCAGACGAGCTGCTTTCATCGCGAAGGTGCCCGGGTAGATACCAGTAGCTGTCAGATCTTTCCCACCGACCTGATCTTCGTAGTTAGGTGTATAGGTATTGTTACAGAAAGCCAGCGTCGACCGACAGGATGGCCAGGGCACTCGACGGCTGCGGCCGCTTGGATCAGTATAGCCCCGGCTGATATCCATCTTCACGAAGCTCTGGATGCGTCGCAGCTGGCTCCTGTGCAAGACACGAATATACTCAGTCTCGGCGGCAGTGCCCAATTCTTGAGTTTTGAGTGGATTCTTTAAGTACACCAATTGTATACATATATCGAACATAGTGAGTCATTCGATATTGTATCCAAATGTAGTAAACTCTTAAAGAAACATACACATTGTACATAAACATACATACATAATGCATGCGTACATACATACACACTTGCATGCATGCATACATACATACATGCATACATACACCGACACACACACACACACACATGCAAACATGCATGCGTACACAGGAGGGCAATAATAAGGTGCAATTAAGTGCCTCGATTGCATTTTGAAACTCTGTCTTACTTAAAACTGCACTTGCATACCTGCTCGCAGACTGTACTTGTTGTAGAAGAGCAGACAAGTTCTGCTTGCGACAGCTTCTTGAATTACCTAGTTCGTAGGCTAGTTTTGGCTAGCTGTAGCTGATTAATGGTACAACCGGGGCCCTTGCTTATTCCTGACATAATGTCGCTCGACATTCTGAGTAGTTGTCCTGCGAGTTAATTACATACTATAGTCAGCCAGTTAGCAAATTAGTTGGATAACTACTTTGTTTTGTAGGTAGATAAGGAGATCGTCGGTCAGGTTCGTTCATAGGTCGTTCATTTTTTCGTTGGCTCGGTGTCTCTCCCTCTCTCCCTGTTAAGGGGAGCCAGCTTTCAGAACACACACCCACACACACTCTCTCTCTCTCTCTCTCTCTGATACGCCTAACATTGATACCACCCTGTATAGCCAACTAGTTGTAGTTAGCTGCCCTTGCATCATTACAACTTAGCTGCTTGGATTGGTAGAATTATATAGTTGGTGAGTGGGTCATTTATTAGTTAGGTTGGTTTGGTTCAGGACTTTATAGTTAGGGTCAGATCGATTGCGGTTCGGGTATTATCCACCTAGCTAGTTACTTATACAGCAGGGGTTCATGTGCCTCGAAACCGTGTGGGACACCAGGAATGCATTCTATAGCTATTTTGTCAGTGGACGAGGTGGTTAATACGACTGCAGGCAACGATGTTTCACAATTGCTACGGAACTCCAGCACAACATATAGGTAGTTAGTTTACGAGGTAGCCACCGAAACAGAAAGGTCGCTCGGCAGCTAGATGTTAACTAGCATGGCTTGCCAACTCCTCGGTTTGCTAGTGGTCATAGTCAATAGCTGCCGAAACTGGCCAGTTTAGTAGTACTGGAGTGTGCCCGGAACAAGTTGGTTTATACAGTAACTTTGGGCAATTACAAGGAGCTGGGCTGTACCCCGGTTGGATCCTCCTTGATCCGGTCAGATGTTCATACAGCTTCGGCAGGAACGGTGCGGTCCCCCATAGTGTAACCTGTGCGAGAATAGGCAGTCTTTCCGTTACTGCCACGGGTTTCTTTCTATATGTCCTTTGAGGGATGGGCTGTGGCCATGTTAAAATCGGCATTCAGAGCACTGGGTCCATCTAATTGCATGAGTCATATGTCATGCAAGCAACACACTTCTTTGATGGAGCCCCCACGGCACCCAAACATAGGTTCACGCCCTTTGCTTTGTGCGCTTTAAGTCTTGCCTCAGCTCCACACTGGCAGCCTAACGACGACTATGCATTGCGCATGGACTAGAACTACTGCCTTATTCTATCTTCAAGTCGGCGCACTCGAATACACGGCATCTCAAATAACATGGAGCCGGTCGGGTTCTCGATGATGTAGTAGGAGCCAGATCGGAAGTGATATTCCATCCTCAATGCATTCGTGAAAACAAAGCTTTCGATCTCGAACCCGAGGTATAGCCATATATGCAGATGAGCGACAAGTAGGCGACTCGTCTTGCCAGGCGATTCGCCCGGTTCACTTTGTCAAATTTCGGATCGCCTTCCCAACGCATTAGGTCAGGCATACGATAAATCATCTAGCTTGTCCATCACTTCAAAGTCTTCTTAAAATTGCAGGGCCTTTGATATTCAATCGTCGCCGCTTTGAAGACCCACGACTCCTAGGACTATATGCTGAAAGCGAAACACCGATGTAGTAGTTCTCAAGTCTTGGCAAGTACTTTCTCGCAGCCAAAGCTCATGAACACCCAGCTGCTACAGGGCACAGCATACCATGCGACTCCTTGGGGACGAAGCCGTCTGGCCTAAGTTAGTCGCAGGCAAGGGAATGAAGGATTTGGGGTTGTCGAGCTAGGAGTTCGGGTTTAAGGGGCGTAGAGCCGATGTGCACATCTGATGTTGGGACTACATATATGGTTGCTGGGGGGGGGGTATATGTTTCAATGGCATCAATCAGTAAATAAGATGTATGGCTGATGGTGCTTCGATCGTATAGGGCAGTACCTTGTGTTACCCGTCAATTGCGGCGATATCTTCAAGCCGAGTTGCGGAGGACAAGAACACCAAGAAGCCAAATGCCGTCAAAATATCCATTTTGGAGGAATAGGCCACCTGGGATCGGTACACCAAACCTATATAGAGCCACATAAGGTAATTGCGATGTTGAAGCAGCCGAGGTACATCCACAGCATGGGCCCTCAAGCCGTAGTGTACCGCAGCAGAATACAGCAAATGAGCTCCTCGCCAAGTCTGAATCTTAAGTTTGCTAGATTACTGCAAGCAATGATATCGGTCCTGCGAAAACTTCAACAAAATCGAGATCACATGGTTTGGGGCCAAAACCTGAGCGCTCGATCCGAAGCCGAGCCGAGCACCTATAACAATTGAAAACTCATCTGAGGAATAACGATGACCGAGCTGCTGATCCGCAACGTCGCCAAGGCCAGGAGCAATCGACAAAACTTCATGATCAGAGATCTAAGAATCTTTGAGATATTGTTGTGCATATTCGGGGATCTACGATAAGGAGTTCTGCGCATGCATGGGCAACATGTGTGTATAAGCCTAGCAAGAACCAATAGCTAGCTGTGCATGTGTGCACAACACAAAAGACCACATGCCCATGTCTGCATCGGTCATGTAATGCCCGCATATGCAGATAGGCAGACAGGCATAGACAACTGTTTCGAAGATCTGTCGCTGAAGATTGCGATCCCCACAATTAGTTTCGCTGTCCTTTGAACAGCAAGCGAAAAGCTGTGCACACACTGCCATCAACATTACCCTGCGTCACATAAGGCTGCGCCAGAGATCTACAAACACATATAAGTAGTGACTCGAGAACACATGAGCGACTGTTACTTAATGCCTTATGACGCAAACCCCTGCTGAGATGCAGCAGATCACACACCGCTTTCCTGAAGGTGCCAAAAGCTACTTCAAGCAATTGCGTAGCGGCGACGTCTTTGCTCGTTCAGGTCCATGTTGGCGAGCACCTGCTTTCGCTCGTCACTGTGATTCCACCTGCAGCCGGAGCCGGGGCAATCTTCTCTGCAAGGAATAACCTGGGTTTTACAGCATCGCAACTAGCCGGATATGTAGAACGTACTAACACTTGAGGTATGTGACCTGGGGAAGCGGTGTTGTATGGGAGCTCATGGGTTTGATTTGCCCGCGAATACTTCCCTTTATCATAAATATATATATATATATATATACACATACATATAACCGCCCGTAGAATTTTTTGACTGAGATATGGATTCGTAGCTAAGTCGCATGAGCACGACATGCCGCTCCCGAAATATGGACACATGCATGCGCCGCTTTCAAGCTTTGGAGAGGGAGTATATAATGTTGAGAATCAGTTCATGGTTTCTGCAAATTAGAATTGTTGTTAATGGTGTAACAGAGCACCAAGGCTTCTACCAGTAGCCCCATATATCCCATACTGTAACTATAAACACACCCCCTAATTATAGCACACCAATACTAGGAAGCAACACCACTATATGTGCACTAATTAAAGATGTCTATCGTTGCCGTGTGCACCACATGCAATGGGATCCATCCATGCCTTCGGCCGACCGTGCTACAGAGTCATGCATTATTGATGTTCGGGCTTCGTGCGGCTGAAGAGGGCAATGTACGTTAACGGAGCTAGCGAATTCGTCGTCATCGATTCATCGATTCATTGGGAACCTTCAGCTGCAGATTGTCGCAATCATGGTCATGTAAAAGCCATCGGAGCACCCTGCCCAAAGAGCTGGCGCCAGTCCATGTTTCCTAGTCTGGAAACTGGAAACTAACTTCATCCTTTTCCATTACCTCCGTTCCTAGGTCAGTCTCTCTCCATACAGGATGGACAACAATAATTAATGCATTACACCTTGGCCCCTTGCCCCTGCATAGCTGTCTCCGTATTGGCTACTAATTCTCCAGCTCTCATCAACCGATAACCCCAAGGAATGCCGATGACGGAGGTGATCGACGATATTGTGCCGGAGGATAGATACCACAAGCATGCCCTTACTGTAACCGTAGTCTCGGGTGTTCCAAACACATACAGGAATCGACATCTCAAGGAGGTATTGGTTTCAATGCATCGGAGACCTGTGGAGTTAGCTGAAATCGTAATCCTGATCCCAGACCTGATTCTTGCAAACAGACGCCCGAATGAAGCTCCATAAGCTAATGAATGTTTTTGATCCCAACTAATGCTAGAGAACTAATTCCAACTGAAGCCATCTGCCTGTCGCAACGGGGCCCCCATTCTAATTCGTATATAGGTGTTGTTATTGTTGCTATTGATATTTATTAAATTGGGATCACCAATCACTTCTTACAAGACCAGTATCTCGAATCCTTTGTGTCAAAGCACTCAGATCATATCTAGTGACCGCTCGGACTCAGCAGCTGCAACTGACCAAATCTATAAGGCAAAACTGCAGACTACAATCTCCTATGGCCGACAACTAAACCCTAGACATCGAAGCTTCATGAGAATAATTAGGTATTGCAAAACATTCTCTTCTTGGCCCGAAGCCCCTGCCTGTTCTGGCGCTCGGGGAACGACATAGGCGGAAGCCTGGGCTGGCATGCAGAGAGGGC